CCGTTTGTTTCAGTGTTGAAATAAATACTATTTGGCTTGCTACCGAGGCAGATAACATGGCTAATTAACTAGCTAACGTCAACTAGTTTCCTCTCTCACGTTACTTCACAGAGTGAGGAATAGCAGTCTATAGTACGTACTGTAGCCTACTTTTCTGCGATTTAGTACAATAATTACATTTAGCTGGTATCACGTCTATACTTTTAAGCCTCCTGCCATTGTTTACATCTGTTTAAAAAAACTAAAAAAAACTTTGCCACTGTTTGAGTGTTGTGTGTGTGTGTGTGTGTGTGTGTGTGTGACACTCACGCTCTCTCTTTCCTTATGTGTGTATGTGCACACATCCTCGTACCTCATAAAAAAAACTAAAAAAAACTTTGCCACTGTTTGAGTGTTGTGTGTGTGTGTGTGTGTGTGACACTCGCGCTCTCTCTTTCCTTATGTGTGTATGTGCACACATCCTCGTACCTCACCGCTCCAAACTTAATCCGGGAAAGGTGAATATTCCTGCATCATAACTTGGACTGAAAGATGAATGTGTGGAAAGCGAGCATGTCTCCAAAAACCTTGTTGAGCTGCAGGTTTATGCATGCGTTGTTTATTAATTTTTAAATTTTATTTTTTTACAGAAATTATGTTTTGATTATATTTTTTATTATTATTGAGCTGCAGGTTTAGGCTCACTTAAGTGACTGCATTTAATTAAGAAGAATTTAATTATTTATTCTAATTATTTAGCCTGACATCTTTACTGTTCCAAAATGTTCTATGTTTCTTAAAAATAAAATGTGTTCAGTGGGGAGAAAAAGTTGTATTTTTTACCCAGACATTTAAAAATAACATATTTTAGAGCTGTAATCGTGAAACCGTGATATTTTTATCTAAGGTTATCATACCATCAGAATCTCATACCGGCCCATGCCTATGCCTGACATTATCAAGATTAATTTGTTCTGACGCAGTTCTTCTCATATTTTATTACCATTTTCTAAACTATAGCCAATAAACTGTGATATAATGTGAGAAATGTTGAAGGTGTCTGAATAAATTTTGGTTTGACTGTATCTATTAAATATTAGGTATGTATCGATATCAAAATCTCACGATACGATAATATCGTGGTATGAAGTCTACGATACGATATTTTTTGCGATATAAAAAAAAGAAAGGGGAAAAGGTTTTTTTTTTCTCGTCCCAATAATTAATCATTGCATCATCAGAGCTGTTACTTTGGCTTTATATATGATAGATGAATTAATAGATAGAGCTAAATTAAGTGTATCGATATCAAAATCTCACGATACGATAATATCGTGGTATGAAGTCTACGATACGATATTTTTTGCGATATAAAAAAAAGAAAGGGGAAAAGGTGTTTTTTTTTTTCTCGTCCCAATAATTAATCATTGCATCATCAGAGCTGTTACTTTGGCTTTATATATGATAGATGAATTAATAGATAGAGCTAAATTAACACCATCACGTTTTCATCCGTTCGCAGGTTGTAAAGTTTATTGTAGCTATATGGGCGCTCAGTTTCTCTTGTTGTTTAATGCATTTGGCCGAAATCTCACGATATATAAAAGACGAAGCACTATGCACAGGATAT